ATAAATTGATGAATAAAGGAATATTTCTCGAGAAAAATGAAAATACACCTCATTTTTTCAATAGACAGCATACTTATCGAAAAGAAAGTAAAGTAAAAGACAACATGTTGTATGAGCAACAAATGGATCGAATGTTCTCGTACTTTCTTAGAAAGATATAATTACATTTCGTGACGGGTTTTCTAAAAAAGAACGTCCTTATTGTGAGGGGATGCGTTTGTTCTTCTTGTCGGGACACTAAATTGGATCTAGTATAGGGGTAATTAGTTTTTTCGTCACCTCGATGGTCTCTCATTCCGTTTCACCCACTTCGAAAAGTATATTACCTCTAGAGGTGGCTTTGAAACATAAACACAAGAATTCTACTCTAATCATTTCGAGGCGAAAAAATTCCTGGTATGGGGCATTGTTACAGTAATGATATCGACACAAAAACAGTACTATTGACAATATACACCGGCAATTTTTACCCATAATTTGTTGTAATATTGCTCAATAATTATATAGATGACTAATTGCATCTAGCGTTAAACAAATCATTATTTTGTCACTATTAATTTGTAACACCTTTCAAGGGTAACTAAATTGTTCGTGACGAACAGTGATGAAGAAAATAATTATTAAATTTATAAAAATTATTGAAAGTTTCCTCTGTGAAAAGAAATGAAAAAATCAATTCGAACATGTAAATATTAAAAATGAGGCTTTTGGTAAACATTATGAAATCACCTTCCAGTTTTAAATTGATGGCAATTAGTCAAATTGAGAGGGTGTTTGCCAATTTTGATAAACCCTGTACCTTTATGTAAAACTAATTTTGAACATAGACTTGGTTTTCTATATCAAAATTACAAAAAGAGCTATAATTGAGAAAGAAGAAGACACAATTTTCACAAACATTTTTATTTCTAGACGCGTTACGCTAAGATCGTAGCTTCCTTGTTAGAAATGAACATTACACACTGGAATACAATTTACAACAGTAGTGGGTACCCAACATAATTAGTTAATAGTGGAAGTGACAACAGGTAGAATTTGTAATAATAATAACGACAAATAAATATATCGATCAATCACTAGAAAAATTTTATGCAGATATCACAATAAAATCATATATAGTTAATATAAATACAAAACATTCAATATGAACAAAAAAAACACTAGTAAATTGTATACAGATATCACATTTAAATCACATACAATAAATATAAATAAAAACATTTAGGTTATATAATAAAATAAACTCAATAGGTACCTACATTTTATCGAACATCACTCAAGCATCAATCAAACAAACATTCTATTTTTTTTTTAATGAAACAAACAAACCATGGAGAAGGTGACCTACAGATTACACATCTTCTATAGACATTTATACATTGTAGTAATATGTATTTTCCACATCAACAAAATGGTGTATCTGTGCTCTAGGCAAACCTGAGATCCAAGCTTCAAGCTTATTTTTGAACATATTAATGCCAACGATAGTTGGCAAATACAATCCCAATCTTTTGGATAGCGGGTAAATTTTTGAAAATAAATAAAATCATTGGTACTATAGAAAAATGTTTAACAATGGAGAGTGGTCAAACTTTTGTTAGTCGTTTAATAGGGAATTTGAATGTTTGTCCTTAATAATTTCCAGAGACTCCAGCTTCTATAAGCTTCTATATGGAAAATGTAGTACCTATATAGTGTTGAACTCGCGATCGCTTTTCATTATTATCTCCTTATTTTATGTTCGGAGATTCTCTTTGAAAAATTTCTTGAAGTCCTTCCTACATACACTTTTGAGCATGATCCGCATGTTAGTTTGTAGACACCTGATCTGTTATCCTTGTCTATCTTACAAGCTATGTAAATATTTTGTTTATTAAGTAGTCTCTTTATTTTATCTGATGTTTTCCGGTATATTTGAGTGTCTTAAAGGTGCCAGTATTATATTTAATTATGAGGGTATACTTGGTTATTAGCATGTTTGAAATGTTTTTATCATGGATGTGATGAATTACATTCGAGTTGAAGATGTTATTCACATCAGATTTAATTCCTTATTAAAATTATCTGTGGTTAGGTTAGGTTAGGTCCAAAGTGAGTGGGTCTATTCGACCATCCACCGCAACCCGCAAGGATTTATTGTGGCTCACACCTATTCACACTCGTCCAAATAAACCCAGCTTCTTAACGAAGCCAATTAGTTTGTATGGTGAGTGGTTTTTCAGGTCAGATGGTAAGAGTACCGGCTCTGCTGAACTCTAAAAACCTGATTCCGTCCCCAGTGGGGCAGGCACAAAATGTGTTCTTTGCTGTTTCATCATTTTCTAAATAGAGGCAACACAGTCTCGGACAGTCTTCCGACAGTCCGAGCCTCTGCATATGATGATTCAAATGACAGTGACCTTTAAGAAGGCATGTTAGACATCGCAGTACATCCCTTCTATAGTCCAATAACTCTTTGGTATAATAATGATAATCTTTATTGAAATAGGAAACCTAATATACATATCTATGAGTGTAATAATAACACTAGCACAATGAAATATAAAAAAAAATATGTAAAAATTTTTAAATGTAAACAATTTGAGATTTAAACTAGCATGTAGCCAGACAGTGAATATTACATATAACGATTTCAGTATCATATGTTAAGTAACATTTAAATAGCTAATGAAATATAGGTACATATAATAATAGATAATTGGTTTCATTACAAATACAAATACCCTAGTGAACAATTGAAAACAATTAAAAACAATAAATGGTAGCCACCAATGTCCCAAATGATTCCACATAACTATACAATTTTTATTCTATTACTTTTTTAAAATTCGTTAAGTGCTTTTTTAAAATTTTTTAAAATGGATATTTCTTAATTTCTTCAGGTAATTCATTGAACTCGTGGAAGCCCTTAAAAATTAACGAATTCATGATACTTCCGAATGCCGGTCTGTTTATATGTATATTATTGGAATTTCTTGTATTATAATTATGAATGTTTTTATTGAATTTGATATAATCTTTAAAATATTCTGGTGCCATTCCATTTACAATTTTGTATACTAGAGTCATTTAAAATAGTAGAGTCTACTTTCAACTGATAACCAATTCAAACAATCTATCATACTTTTTATGGGAGTACGGCGATTTGTTTTCAAGATTACTCTCATCCCTCGATTTTGTAGTTTTTGTAGCATATTTAGTTTATTGAGGTTGAATAAAAATAATAATGACGCACAATAATCAAAGTGTGGTTGAATAATGGTATTGTAAACTGTTACTTTGGACTGCATTGACAAATTTTGTGCTATTCTACCGAAAAAATATAGTTTTTTCGATATTTTTTAATCTATATATTCAAAGTGATTGTCAATTTTTTCGTTATTGATATTGAGGTTTATACCGTTTATACCCTTCGAAGGGTGAATAAATACCTTGGAGTAAGGCGATCCCGGAAGATTCTGCCAGAAGTCCATAAATCTTCTTGACATCCAGGTGTTCAATCTTTATTTGGCAAAGCCTAAAGCGATGCCAATGATGGGTTCTGGTCCGATGAAGCTATTTGCAGCACCCAGGTCTGGATTCCTGGCCAATATGGCCAGTATGGCCAGGAATCCAGACCAGAGACAATCCGATAAGTCTTTCTATCGAGGAGAGTCGTTTTTGACAATTTGCTACAAATTTAGCCGTTGCTCGGTAGGAGCCAAGAGCTTCCAACGCCGCTTGACTGTCCAAAAATATTTTTATCGACTTGTGTATGAGGTTGGATTCTTCCGATCTCTCCGCACACAATTCAATAGCGTAAATGTCCGCTTGAAATACAGTCGCATAGGTTCCTAGGCAGGTTGATATCTCTGTCCTGGAGATACATCTGCACCAGAAACGGAATTCATCTGTGAACCAACTATCTGCCCTCAATATTTCCTTCTCCCGGAAGATCTAGTACTCTTTACTTGGGAATAGTACTTTATAAGGCAGTTCGTAGTTGACAGCTGTAGGCAAAAATTCAGAGGTCATTCAACCGACAGTCTGTTGCACTCTGCATTAAAATGATTTGTGCAATTGGAAATGTGCACAAGTCTATATGCAGTCTATCTAGTCTCTCTTTCTCCAGAAAAATGTGGAGAGGAGGTAGATCTAGAAGGATCTCATTGGCCGCTGAAGGTATGGTACTGATGGCCAGACAAGCTTGTCTCTATAAGGCAGAGACCTTCGCCTGGGCCGTTTTCTGTAAAGCCTTCGGTCACCAGGCAATTGCATCATAAGTGATCATTGGTCTGACAATCATCACATAAATCCAATGGATTTGTTTGGGACCTAAACCCCAAGTTTCACCACAAATCCTTCGAAATGTCCATAGGGACAGTCTGGCTTCATGTAAAACTTTTTCAAAGTGAGCGTTCCAGGTGAGTTTTTTATCGAAGGCAATGCCAAGATATTTCACCTCCGTTTCAAATGGAATGACCTCACCATTGAGGAAAAGGGGATTATCACAGTTTTGCTGGGGTTGACAGACATCTGCTTCCTCAGGCATCAACTGTGAAAAATGTCCATCTTGCTTTGGAGGATGTTACAAGCTACCCTTCCCGACGTGGACCTTTCCAAAATGACAAGGTCATTTGTATAAGCTTGCAGATCTACTTTTCTGTCAAGGGCCACAAGCAGACTATCAGGAGCGACCACAGAAAGAGAAATAACCCCCCCCTTGAGGGCAGTTACTGGTGACCCTGAACCTAATGGCCTCTCGTTAGGATACAGTTCCAAACCACGACGGCCTTCAAACCCGAATGAAGATCATAAAAATGAAAATCTCGCAGCGAAAGCCTTAATCAATTTATATGATCCACTGTTAGCGAAACGCGTATAGAAATCAAAAAGGTTTGTGAAAATTGTTTGATTATTATCATGGATAGTGTTATCAATTTTCATCAAGTAATGGATCAGTCCATTCATAACTTACAGATAACGTTTACACAAAATTTTCATTTTCGTTTTTGTTTCAGTTTATTCGTGGATTGCGACGAGTTAGAAAAAAATATGAGGAACATGGAATACCCCAATGAAAAATATACAGGAGAAGAAGAAATCGTCTTGACGGACCGATTAGCAGAACAAAAATAATTTTCAATTCAATATTGTGACTGGATTTGAATGTTGTACCCGAATAATGTAAATTTTGAAACCTATTGAGTTTTTCATTTCAGTTCAAATCATTAAAAGAAACTATAGTTAACACATTCAAGTTAAAATAGTGTATGTAACATTCCAATAAAATTTATTTAAATAAGTGATGTCGTTATATTTGTTATTGACTGTCCTTATCCTTCTGAATATTTGTAACATTTCAAATAAGCTGCCAGTATAGATACTCCGACTTGCATGCGTGTCCAAAACAAGCACTGCTCCCACACCAGAACTGAAAATCTCATTCCGGCGCGTGTTTCACTCGTGTAATTGAATGATCGTATAAAATACCTATTTGGATAGCCAGTGAAAGTGTTCCAAATATTTCAAAAAGTACCAACCCTCTTACATTCATTCAATAAGTAATCAGTACCATTTTAGCTTTTCAAGTATTCAAGTACTGAGAACTAAGACCAATATAGGTACTAAAGTACAATAATCGGGTAACAGTTCTCTCTCTCTCTGTCTCTCCATTTCTCAGATATTTTTGTTATATTTTGTAGATACCAACTATACATAGATTACCAACATTTACGTGAAAAATTGTTTTAACATCATTGCCCATAATCCGAACAAAATACGCGCGACATATTTCGATTGTCGCACCGTATACCTATCAACAAAGTTGAGTCAATTTCATTTTTCGAAAGTTTTCAAATCAAATGCGAATCGGTAAAAACACCAAAACCACAGTATAGCATAGCCATTGTATATAGATTAACGTATAGCATCATTGTCCAAGGATTAGACAATGATAACATCTTTCCTCACCCAATGTAAAATATTTTGACAACACCCGATCCAACGTACTTCGGCATTTCATTCACAGAGGCGCTAAGCGCACAGCAATTACATTAGAAAATAATCGTATATTAGATTCTTGTTTCATATATCAACACGAGTACAAAATTGGATCGAGCTCATTTTTCGCGTAGAGAGATTCTGACAAAACAAAAGCGAATTGGTAAAAACACCAGAGTTCCTCTGCATCTTTATCGAAACCAAGCTGCATAGAATATCCCTGACGCGATCACTCAGACCCATTTGCCATTTAGAATATTTTTTTGAGGGCAAAACACAAGCACTACACGAAAATCCTTAAGGCGCTCTAAGAGCGGTACCTGTGTGAAAGTAGTTTTTCACTTTGGATTTGAATCGCTGGAGATTAAATCCATTTGAAAAAACGTTCTCAGGAAGTGTATTCCACATAAACGCCGTTCTCCAGATGAAAGAGTTCTTGAACAGTGAAGTTCGAGGTATACTGAGTTGAATTTCAAAACGATGAGCAGCCACAGTCCGTCGCGTATTTCTGATATGTAGGTACCGCTCTTGGTGGAATCAAATGTACCAAAAGTCACTTGAACAATTCCTGTGAGAGTATCTATAGAAGAAACACAAATCTCCAACCTTTCTTCGATGTTCCAGACTATCAAATTTGCAAGTGATGCTCGCGTCTCTAATCAGGCGGATGGCTCTTTTCTGGATGGACTGCAGCAGCTTCAGGGTATGCTTATGTCAAAAACTCTCCACCTACACAGGTACTGAGTACAACCATAGTATAAAGAATTATCTTTTTACCATGGTACAACTCAAGTGACGCAGTTCGACAATGTAAAGTTGGCACTTCAATTTTCAATGTTATTTACATTTTGTAATAAATTAATAGCAGGTGAGAGATTTGTTTCCATAAATTGAAGATCTCAACAAAATACGCGCCACAAATTTTTATTCTTGCGCCACCTATCGACACTGTTGGTTCAATCTCTTTCCCGCGTTGAGAGTTTATGACAATAAAGCGAAAAGCGAATCGGTAAAACACCAGGGTTCCCATGCATCTTTATCGAAACCATTAATTTGAATTGAGGTGTAATGTTACCATTTCAGCGCTTGAATGGTAGAATATTCTCTACTCTGTGACTTCCCTTCGAAAACCGATATTGCAAGAATATTTTGTATATGCAGAAGAATTTTTTGTATACTGATATATGCTGATATTGCAAATAGATAACTAAGAAGAATTTTTTGTATACTGGGCATGAGATGGCGCTGCTTATTCCGTAGGAAAACGTAAAATGACATTTGAGGTGAAAAACTCATTTAACCTCAAAACAGTTTGAGTTTCATAATGTTTTAAAATTTGATTTACCAAATTGTTATTGATTGAAATGGTTACTCAAAATATCTCGGGATTGAAAAACTTCTTCATATTCAATCCTACCTTGAGCACCAAAGAAGGAGAGGTATTTATAATAAAGAAAATCAGTGTATTTGGGGTTGTCCTCCAGAAATCATAATTTTCTATTCACTAATATGGGTTTCACTATTCTGTGTCTCAGCCCCCCAGACCATGTCTAGAATTGAAATATTCAAGTCGAATTTTCAGTAAAATTCAGAAATGTAACGTCCAGTGGGTTCGCGCAGTCAAAATAAAAAACTATTCATTCCAAAGAAAACAACTCTTTTGATTAAGCTTTGTTTTTATTCAGAAGACGAATTTCAAAATCATACTAAAATTACCTATTGTCGATACCTTTGGCACTTAATTATTTTCACTTTCAATCCATATTTATGTACCATAAAATGTGTGAATTGTGTCATAGTTCATACTTATCTACACATGACTTGGACACTATAATTAGAATAAGATTGCAAACATGTCTTGGATAAACATAATATGTATGAAACCAAATAAAACTATAGGCAGGGTATATCTGTGAGTCAACTCATACTTTTATGTAAACTCTTGAGCATAATTTCGTTGTTCATAAATGGTTGCACATCTTTTAACAGTCCAGTGACATTACAGCAAAGGGGTTTTATTTGGAATCAAAGATAAGTTCCACTAAATTATCAACATTTCGAACTTATTTATTTTCATCATCAATTGTCCCCAGTTTGTTGAACTATTAGTGCATTTATACAGATAATCGATGAGCTGAGAAGTACAAATCATACTACACTGCACATAATTCCACTTTCCACAACTCCCATCAGTTTATTAATTTTTATATAAGCTAATTTATCATATTATGGTGGTCAGCCTCAAACAATTTTTTTTTCAGGAATTGCAGAAAATTTTATATTATTACCCTATTTGTGATAATACTGAAGTTCAAATAAAAAATGTTGGTCTTGTTGAAGGAATTATTCAATTCACTGAGTAAGTTCATAAGAAGATAATTCAGTGAGTAGATAATACATCATAAAATTTTCAGTACCTTTAAGCCAACTTCGTCTGCCAGTTCGCTGCATACTAACAAAACAAGGCAGCTATATTTTCAACCCGAGAAGAACTACTGGATGGTCATGGTATGTATGATTTAATTCATTTTCAGCAATAACCGCTTTTGTAAATTGTTTGATATTGAGTAGTTTGGTTCAATCATATCATATTTTGTTGCAATTATTCAATATGTCTCTCATCCAAGACCTCATCTTTCAATTTTAGTTGAAGAGTTTCGAAAAATATAGAGTTATGCAAGTCTTGTTGCAAGTTATTTCAGACTCAATCACGTGATATAAGAAACAGTTTTCACATCTCAAATATTTCTTCTCGATATCCTTTTTGATATCCACATATACTTGGTCAGAATCAGTGTTTTCAATATGATTGTATATATGTATATATTTGTGTAATAGTGTGTTTGTCAACTATATATGTGTATGTATGTGTAAATGTATATATAATGAGCTGTTTTCTCGGGTATATATTTTTTGACTTTATATTGACTTTATTTTAGGTTAGACTTTGTGACAAGAATATGTTTCTTCAAACAAAATAATTAATCAATCAATATATTAATTTCGTAATTGACATCTTGTTTTTTCTTAGTCGAATTTAAAAAAGTATATGACATTTCATATATTGATATTTTTTATTGTAGGACTCTGTATATATACTTCTAATTGATTTATGTATTATATACCTGAATATGTTTTGTTTATTTTTTATGCAAAACCTTATCATTTGTTATAGCTTTGTCAATAACATTAACTGTTTGGGTAATGAAGCATATTTATTATTTGTATATTATTTTGTAGACTCTTCGCTTGAATCAAATTTCCAAGGAAAGAAATGCCACTGGTGATGCGGAAGAATTAGAAGACGATATACAAGACAATGTTTATGAAGCTATGCTAAAGCAAGCATATTATATGTACAGGTTGTTCTGGGGTACATTTCAAAGCGTGAAAGATTTGAGTACTCTAAAAATGAACATTGAGATATTTTATAGAACTGTACGTATGACTTTCAATTCATTAAGGATTTAACTGATTATCTTGACTATATTTTTCAGTATTTACAGTCACTGAAGCTGCCACAAGCAGATATCTTGAACGTTTTTTGTGGCATACAGTACCTTCCTCTGGATAAGCAAACTTTTCTCAAAGTACAGTGCTTCGTTAACTTATTGGAGTCAACATTCCCGATTGTTCCTCATACTGCGTTTTTTTATAATGAACACTTAATTTGGTATGTAATAATAATTGAAATTTTTCTTCGAGGTTCAATGACAATGATTGGAGATTGGATCATATAAGTGTGGAATCATGCAACCAGTCTTGAGTCATAAGTTGGGAACCATAAGAAATCCTAAGTAGTTATCATTAATTTTCAGTGGAAACAATCATGCATGAGCATAGATAATATCTTATATTTTTCATACTGATGATATCTATTTGCATGAATTGTATAACACTCAAGACTAATGCATGGATCCACCATAATTTCTCTCTTTATTTTTGCTCTAGGAGTGGAGTGGAACCAAGTGACATGCAAGTTATCTATCAGTATTTATCAACTTCTGTGTTTCCTGCAAATCTGGAAACGGAAACACAAGGTAGTTCCAGGAATTCCTCATCAACTTTATCAGCTTTGCAGAGAGGCCGATTTATTATTGGACCATCAAACTTGAAGCTGGCAAAAACTGTTGGAAAAATTCCAAAAGTGTACTTATTTGGTGGCAGTGGAACCAGTGAACTGTACTTTGTCATTTACAAAATGTCAGGAGCTTCTGTTTGCCTTTTCATCAAAGGTAAGCTAACAAGTTTGTCTTACTTTGATTTCGAACATGTTTGACGGTTTTGACAATCCAGCCCGAAGCAAATAGAGTCCATTTCCTACAACTTTCGTAATCACAACATCTTTTTAGGTAAAATAATTCAGATGATTCCCAAGTAGCAAAAAAAAAGAAAATTATGAATATTCTGACAAAGTAGCTTCATCATTTACTGATGAAGCTAGTATTCGATGAAGTTTAGTATTTTATATAGATGATAAGTTAGGGTGTGGATTTGATACACTCAAAAGCAGAGAAAATTAATAAACAAACCACCCAAAATTATGCAAAACTCAGACATGTGTTTCTAGCTAATTAGCTTTCATCATTAAGGTACAACCAAGTGCAAGGTTGGGCAACACTCAATTACAGAAACAACACAAATTCACACAGACATCAACAGAAGCCAGCTGCAGTTTGTGGTTTCGGTCAGGTCATCTTGGGTTAGAGATATCACTGTCGTCACCACGAAGAAGCTTTGGCTACCTGCGCGACATCCGTGTTCAGGATTGGATATAGATGATAATTTAGGGACTGGATTTGATGAAGTCAAAGAAAAAACAACAAATTTTGTGTTGTTTCTGCAACTCAGTGTTGACTAACCTTGCATTTGGCTGTACCGAACCATTGACAGCTAATGAACTAGAAACACGTGTCTGCGATTTGCATGTTTTTTGAATGCTTCGTGCATGAAGGTAAGTGTGACATATACCTATCGTAAAAAACAATAACTAACCCAGGTAATACCACGCACACATAGAGCTAAAGTGAAATCATCAGGCACCTATGTAAAGTCTTCAATTTGGAAGATTCGTCGCAAGTAACTTTAATATATGAAAAGTTGAAATTGATTTCATTTGGTCGTAATGACTACTGACAGACCAGTATCGGAGGACTAGCTCCTCGACAGTGCCATATACAAACAGTATGGTTCTTAAAATGTAACCATGTATGAGTAAAAACAAAAATTAAAATCCAAACATGAATGATACCGCTAGAAGTTAGGTATTCGACAGATATTAAAGATAATTATTTTTGTTTTAATGATCTCTAGCCAAAATATCAATTCAGTATATCTCTGAAAATACCTACTTTTCCTACCTGCCGGTTGTGAATATCACGAGACTCAACCTCTGTCTTCGGCAGTTGACGTCGAAGCTTGGTTTTGCAGCTGACCGCCTTTAGAAGTCTCGTTCTTCCTTAATATACACTTGATATAATAACGCTTTATTATCATAATCTTGTAGACAAAGCTTGGGTAGTGAATACTTAAAAAAAATTGCAATAAATACCAAATGAAAATAAAAATACAAATGGTGCAAACTATGTTAAAATGGAGGATATGAAAGATATGTATATATAAAAGAGTAAAAGTCAAGATTATAAAAGAGTAGGCATAAAAAATAAGAACTTAGGTGCTCCTTAATTAATAAAGATAAAAAATATGACTAAGTCAGTTGAAAGCTATCGTTAAAATATTCATCCAAAGTATAATAGGGTCTATCAGATAGAAATTGTTTGACTAACTTCCTGAATTGGAAGTCATTTATATTGGCAGATCTTATGTTCATAGGCAAATGATTGTACATTTTTCCACCGTTGTAAAATATGGAGTCTCTGGTGACGTTTTTAATTGGCAGAGTGAGTTTCAGAGTGTGTCTGCTGTTTCGGGTGTTATAATGGGAAGAGGATGCAGCAAAATTTAATATATGCTTATTTATTAAACACACAGATTCCGGTATAAATAATGCAGTTACCATTAGAATATTATGTTTTTTGAAGAAGGTTCTACAGGAGTCTCTTGGTTTAAGGTTTCCTATATACCTTATTGCCCTTTTCTGTAAATTTAGTAGACTTTTGAATAAAGTTGAACTGTATACGAGGATTGAGTTCTCTGTTGATCCCATAGATGGCATCTTTGTAAGGGATGATGTCGTCTACCTTACTTACTCAGGCTTAATCTTTATGGAAAGTTGAGTCCTGCTTGGCACTACCTACCACCACTGATGAGACCTGGTGGATCGAAACAGCGCTGTACGGTATTGAGTCATAAATGCGTTGTAATTGGGCTCTCGATTTATTCTAAACGTTCCCTTTCAATGGCCTCGTAGTTTCACCAATATAGAATTTGCTGTACTCACAGGGTGTCTAGTAAATGCATTTCTTGGAATCGCAGTCCGCGTTTGATGGCCCGGTTTTCGTGAAGCTGCTACAGATGGTGTTTTCAGATCTGAAGCAGGTTCTGATGTTGTACTTCTCTGATCTCTTGATCACCTGCTCTGTCTCATGAATTCGACTACAAATGTATTCATGTATGTTATGATATGTATGTTATTTATGTTATTATATATGTTATTTATGTATGATATGACCTTTAAAATTTTTTTGCAGGTGATTATGAACTGACCGTGGATTGTTTTAAAGAACTCAATGAATTCATGAATTTCAACTTGGTGTCGGTGGTATCAAGTATTACTGAATATTCCTCAAGAGAAGTGGTAACTCCATGTTCTGAAACCTCGCCTAGATTCATATACTTTAATAAACTGAATTTGGCCCTCAAAAGTACCGTGCATTCGGACATAAAGCCATCTGCTGCCATAAAAGACTCTGTGAAAATTATTGCAGATATTAACAGTTTGATTCCTTTTCTGGGAAGTACAGGAGAGTCAATCGTTAAAACCATGAATGATTATTGGGTGATCGGTAAAACTTCCAACTCGAGGGAATTTTATATTGCACTCCAGCAGAAGAATGCTAGTTTGATAGATATAAGCGGTGAGTATATATGACTATATTTAGAAAACGTTTGCTTGTTTTATAATAGAATAGTCAAGTTACAATATATTAGTGACGACATCAACCGAAATCTATGTCATTGAAAATGTTTCCTATAAATTTAAAAATTCAAGTAATCATTTTGAAAGTTATTTGTTTTTTTTTCTCAGAAGACTGTTAAATATTCTATTCCACAACTTATGCATTCTTGTGATATGCTTTATGAAAAAACTCCCGACACCTTTAGTTTTGGAATTCACATAGTAATTTCAATGTATGTCTAGATATTTCATCACTCATTAGAATATTATTTTGGAAACCAATTAAAAAAAAAAAGAATTGCAATAATTTGTATCAACTGAACTGGTTTTGCGTTACCAACGCCATCTGTCAAAAATTACGGAATTGATAAGGCAAGTAACGTTTAGTAACGCCACCTGTTGAAAAACTATATAGTTAATGTTGATGTGAAGAGGGGCAAAATTGCCTAACAATTTTTTTTGTCTATATGTATACATAGAAATACTTTATCAGCATAGCAGAAGTTGTGTTGCCTTTAAATTTATGTGTTTAAAATGGATCGGTCAATGGAGCTTTAGGTTATATCGAAGATATAATTCAGGAAAAAAATTACAGTCCTCTTGATTTGATCAATTGACATGAGTAATAACGGCTCATCTCAAAAATTATTCTCATTCTCATTCAACTTTTGATGATAGTGATCGAATACACCCTTCTTATAAGATGTTTTTGATGTAAATGAATCTCAGAAATAATAATCTAATTCTCGAAATTAGCAGCTTGAAATTTTTTTTCAGAGGAAGTGAGCAAGTTGTGTGAAACGGAATTGAAAGGTATATTTTTCCATTCAGCCTGAGAGGTGAGTTGATGTATTTTTAAGAGATGTATATATGAATACATAAAGTAATTTTCTTCTGCTTTTTTATTCTAATTTGATTTGAATATCAGGAAGTTAGTAACTAGTAATTAGTAACTAGATTAACTGTTGATGGATCTCATTTGAATTACATGATTTTTTTGGAGTGATTCTTATTTTTCCAAGTTCCAATTCAAAGGTTTTTGTTTCTTACTGAAACAATGGGGAATGTTTCTCCTGACGAAAATCAAGTAGTTTTCACTAAAGAGCTCTAAAACAACGCATTTTAAACTTATCATTTCAACCTTTTTCTTTAAAAAATATTTAAATACTTAAAAAAGAGAAATGAAATAATGCATTCAACATTTAAAGGGATTCGTTTCTAATTCACCATTTGGCAACATCGGTTATAGCTAATGAAGGACAATAAATCTGTTACAAAGATGACATATTTCAGAGGCGTGCTGTTCTGTTTACTTATGTTCAGAGTTCCGAGACATTCTGTGACATATGACATTTTGTGCGCCTAACCTATCTTCCTCTATATAAATAAATAACAAAACAACTGTTGTTTATGTGGCTTGTGGAGGTGGTATTGAACTATAATTTATATTTTGCCTTAGTTGTTGATTTATAAAGATAATTTTTCTTTTTTAAAGTAGAATATCTAGGTACGTATAAATTATTTCAACTTGATATAGGCGCTGTTGCCAATATGTGAATTAGAAACAAATCCCTTTGAAAATTAAAACCCAACATTTGAAACATCAATTTGAATACTTTTCGAAGTGAATTTGAAAAACTCGTGAATTAAACTCAACTTTATTTTGTTCAAACTTGCATTTGCTGTAATAACCCAAATTGGGGAACATTCCCCATTGGGTGAGAAACAATATATGATGAATAATTTCTTGAAAAAATTGACAATTACATTACTTTCCATTACTTTTTGTGATATATTTCATCCTCCTGATAATTTTTGAGCATTCTTTTCAACTGTATTCAAAAGCCAACTGAAAATCTTATCGGGTAAAGTGACTGTGAAAAATAAATGTTACTGAAGAAAATGTGTGTAACATGCCGACCTTGTAAGTTTTAGGAATAAGCTAAAATTAATTGAAAATATAATGTATTCATAGCTATATGTAAATATATATTATTATTATTGGTTGATCTCATCAAGCAATGAGGTTTAGTGTTTCGTTTCTAGTTTTGAAAAATATTGGTTTGATTTATCTGTATAATAATAATATACAGACGTAAGTACTTATCCATCAGCTCAATTATTCTTCAGAACTATAATTAAATGACGTGTCCACCAAGTGTCAGAATTTTGTAAAATTTTTATTTGCCGAATTTAGGAAACTAAGATTCACGAGTTCAACAAAACTCAATCAAATAAATTGTAAAGTTTAGGTATACGAAGTCTGTTTAAAAAATAAGTTGAATGTTCAAATTTTGCCGGCTACATACAATAAAAAGATCATAACTGATGACGAATCATGGGTAGGTATATGGTTATGACATCAAAACCAAAGTCCAATCGTCATAATGAAAGAGCCCAGGAGAGTCAAGACAAAAAAAGCACCTCAAGTTTGATAAAATGTCGAGGTTTTGCTCACTGGCGAAGTGCATCAGGAGTTCTTGCCACATGATCGCATGGAAGTTATGCGCTTTTGCATCACGATAATGCACCCGCTCATTCCTCATTGCTTGTTCGTAATTTTTTGGCCAAAAACAACAATGTAATCATGCCTCAGCCACCGTATTGACCAGATTTGCCATCCTGCGAATTTTTCCTGTTCCCAAGATTGAAAATACCCATAAAAGGACGGCGTTTTGTAACAATTGAGGAGATGAAAACTGAATCGCTGAAAGAGCTCCAAAGACATACCAAAAAGTTTATATCAGAAATGCTTTGAGGATAGCAAAAACGCTGGCAGATGTATATTATATCTGAGGGGGAAAATTGGAAATTGATAAATGAATAGTTTTTGAGAGCAATGAAAATTCATCTAAATTTTTCAACAGACCTTGTACTTCAGACTTCGCATCGTACTTCAAATGGTATCAGCCAATTGCTTAGTTCTAAATTGAAGTTGAAATTGCTCATCGAGCTCGTGGACTAGATTTTTTAGAAATTTGTGATGAAGAATTCTATTTCACAAAACCGACTTTATCATATATAACTCTTTCACTCAACACAATTTATAATTTGGATCTGTATAGGGCAATAAAAAATATAAGTTAAAAAAAGAGTTTATTTTCAGTTGAACCATCTTGCAAAAAAATTGAGGAAATTTCAACCATTTCTTCCTTAGAACTAAAAGTACAGATTAAATAACATAGATCAACATTTCCAACTTTGCCTAAAACATAAAAAAACCTATATCTATCAAGTCTTTTCGAAAGTATGATATAAATATATTCTTGAATGAATTTAAAACAGTCTAAAGGTAAACAAAACTCTCAGTATTCTTTTGGAATGAATGTTAGTTCGGTGTGGGTTTGCATGAAGAGCAGCAGCAATTGGGAATCTAAACCCACATTCTCTATTTTGATAACTTTCCCCTCAGCTGCTCTCGGTTCCTTCCTCAGGACAGCCATACCGGAAACCCTCATAAGACATTCATCATTTTCAGTTGATGCGCCTCCTATTCTAGCAAGATGAACATGACATATAACGTCTATGTGGATATATTTCTGGATTGCAATTCCATTAGGTGTTTGTATCTGGAAAGGAAGATTTGTGATATTACTTCTGATATATGTAGTTATTTTATTAATGAATTTGGAAATGTATGTGTAATTATGAGTGCAATTGAATATATATCTTATGTTGAAACTTGATTTTTTTACAATTCTTACCAACCCATTCCTCAATTGGATTGAAACTCTCATTGAGAATAATACTGAATAATATTGAAAATCAAATCCTGTTCCATTGACATTATATTGACACTGTTAAGTGTTGAATATGATTCTGCTATTCAAAGATAGATGTCGTCACTCATGCTTTTACACACCTAAGTACCTAACCTATCAATTTCCTAGTGCTCATTTTGAAATTTAAAAACCCTTAGTACATTATAACATTGAATAATAAGTGTTGAATAATTTCATTGAAACATGATTAGATGCCAGTAAAATATTTTCACTGAAACTATTTACATTGTTTATTTTGTTTTTGAACACACTCCAAACTGATTATTCATTAATGGAAATTTCCATACCTTCTCCATATGTTCTTCGAACTGAGGATTATCGTCTCTGAATACATCTGCCTCTCCAAGAATCATATCGTCAGCCTTGATCACGAATTTCATTCCTTTATGAACCGCTCTTGGTTCCAACCCTAGTCCATCGGGATGACTGTCTGACCAAAGGTAGTTATCCGGTTCAACCAGTGAATCTGGTTGGAAAGTCAGTCTCTTGGCATATCCCATTCCAATGCTGAGAAGTTTCAAAGCGCGTCCTCCGAAAAGAGGATCCTTTCTATCATTTGGTCTTATTTTGTAGCAGAATCCTGGGATAATCCTGGGGTCTACATAGGTACCTGCAAAAAAAGGAAATTAATGATGTCTACTGATCTGACTTCGTTGATACTGTAGGAAACAGATATATTTTGAAAAATGTAGGATTTTGAGGTATTTTTTACAACTCGGCAAAATATAAGGACACAGCATCCAAATATCTTCTAAGATACATTTGAAAGTTGAAAACATCCGTAAATCAATCTAAAAGATGAGCTAATGTGTTACATTCATTGATTCTACAGTGAGGTCCATATGTATGGAATAAATTCATTTTTAGCGTTATTATGTACTATGTGAAAGAAACCTGAATCAGGTCGATTTTTATTCTTAAATTGACAATTTACAGTATGAAAATATTATCCCCCTCTAGCACCCTTCTGAATTATAAGCACCCCCTCGAAAATTTTAAATAACAAAGGGGGTCGTGTGGCACCTTGTTGGAAAGGGATTTTAGTCCTCTGTTCAGCAATATAAAGTTTTTTAAGTTTGGTGCAATCATAACTGGGAAAATTGAGTTTTAGGATGTAAAATTTTGATAATGTCTCTAGGTATCACAAAACTTTATGTAGAATGAAGATAATAATGCCACATAATATTTAGAATTAATTTTTCAATGTACTTTACAATTAAATTAAATGTTCTAAATGACCACCATTAACTTCTTGACAATAAGCGAGGCGATTTTGAAATTCTCGTACAACATTTTGTATGACCTCGGGGGTTATTTTGTTAATTTCTTCCGTTATCCTAACTTTTAAATCAGCAATATTGTTTGATCTATTAAAATATACTTTAGATTTTAAATAACCCCATAAGAAGTAATCGAGAGGAGTCAAATCGGGGGATCTAGCGGGCCATTCGATTGTTCCACGTCTTCCAATCCACCTATTGGGAAAAACCTCATTTAAATAATTTCTAACTGTACGTGCAAAATGCGGTGGAGCTCCGTCTTGTTGGTAGTAAATAGTTCGATCTATCTCATTTGGATGAGAGAAAATGTATTTGTAATGTAGGCACTAAAAAGTTAATCAAAAATCTAGATAAACCTCACCATTAACAGTGCCCTCAAAAAAAATTAGGGCCAATAATTTTATTGTTAATGATACCAGCCCAAAGGTTAACTTTTTTAGGAGTGTGAGTCGCACACATCCAGTGAGGATTTTCTCTGCTCCAATATCTACAGTTCTGTCTGTTAACTGTTCTGTTTAAGTGAAACGTCGCTTCATCAGAAAACACTATTTTGCTTATGAACTGCAAATCTGCGTTCATTCTGTCCATCATCAATTCACAGAATTCTTGCCTTCTATCAGGATCATCTTCATTCAACTCCTGAACCAACTGAACTTTGTAAGGGTGGTATTGTTCTTTATGCAAAACTCTCAAAATAGATGATTTACTTACATCATTGTCGGCGGCAAGTTCTGGAGTTGTTTTATGCGGATTTTCCTCAATCTCTTGAAGTACATCTAACTTTTTTTCATCAGTAAATTGAACATTTCTACCTGGTTTTCCAATACTTTTTACGTGTCCAGTTTCACGAAACTTGTTTTCAATTTTGCTAACTGTAGACTGCGACACGTGTTGACCAGGGTTATTATTATTAAAAATTTCACAAACCTCCTTTTGAGTTCTTGTTTCATTACCACAACCAATCATAATTAAAATGTTTATTCTTTGAGTCTCGGACAAATGAGCCATAATTAAATTTAATACGCCCACAAATATTATACTTTTGGTAACTTTAAATACCTAAATGATAGCAGCCTTAAAAAACTTTATATTGCTGAACAGAGGACTAAAATCCCTTTTCAACAAGGTGCCACACGACCAACGATTATGGACATACAGGATTGCTTACTTTTGCGATTTTGTTAGACACGTCACGTGGTCTCGTGACGTAACAGTGGTGATTCTGGATTGATTCGGTACTGCACTTTTAAATTAAAATAAACAAATTTCAGGTAAATCCCTTATTAAAATATTATTTTTATATAGGAAGCAGTAAATTAATAGAATAAGTTTTTACCTAACAATTAATTTTCAAGGTCTTGTTCATAATCATTTTCTGTAAAATGTTTAGAACAAACAAATCCATTTCTGAGAGTGAATTTATCCCCTCTTTTGTAGCGACGAATCCATACTTTTTGCAAAGTTGTAGAAATCATATCCTTAGCAATAGGAAAAGAGTGAATTATTACATAAGTAACACTACTTTTCTTTAAAGTCAACTGATTGCTTTTGTTAGTTGACACTGCACAAATACGACCAGACATTTTAACTAAAAATTACAAGGTTATTTAATGGTTAGACAATTATTGCTATTATTTACAAAAATGTGAATATTTCCAATTTTTACCTTAATTTAATTTAAAAATGTTCAAGAAACAAAAAAAAGTTCCACAATGGCGAAAAACAAACTTCAAAACGGAAGTCTTATATGGCGTCTACTCGTTACAACATTTTAAAAAAATGTCCAAAAACACAAAAAAATACGACTTTCATAATAACAAACCCAATGTCTCAGAAACCTAATTGGTATAGTTAAATAAAAATTTAATCAAAATATACAAAAACAATGTAATACTGTCCGAAAATAATCCTCAAAAAATGTTAAAATAACACACAGTCTTATGGCAGCTACTAAAAGTGTCACCAGTGTTATGTCACATCTGCTCAGCGCTTGTTTAAGGTGGAGATATATGTAAGTGAGCAATCCTGTATGTCCATAATCGTTGCCACACGACCCCCTTTGCTATTTAAAATTTTCGAGGGGGTGCTTGTAATTCAGGAGTGGGATAATATTTTCATACTGTAAATTGTCAATAAAAATCGACCTGTTTCAGGTTGCTAAAAATGAATTTATTCCATACATATGGACCGCACTGTATAGATAAAACAAGCCAATCAAAAAAAGCCAAGATAACTATATGACGGCTATTTTCCGGGTTTTGTAGCCGTGGTCTGCAGGTTTTTATGCCTGATGTTTTGTCTGCTGCTGCAGTAGACATTTTCAAAGGCAATGTGGTAACCGAGCTGATGCTCTGGTTCTTGTTCCTGTTGTATTCAATACATTCACTAATATTTCTGTACTGGTACCTCTATTGGCCTTCTGTATTATAGTTTTCAAAGTTTTCAAAAACAGCAGTAGGAAAATTGGTCAAGGTTTATCACACGGATTTTCTCGTTTTTGTCATTCTTGAAAAAAAACTGTCATATATATTGGGTCGTTTTAAAATTTATGTCCGTTTTAATATAATGTAGATTCTCAACGACAACGGGAGACGTTAAGGACAGTGGTTGGACACTGATGAGAGCCACCCAGGCACTTCCCAAAGGCGAAAAACCAACAAAAAAGTTTGTGGTTGCTGAATGGTGGTGAGCGGCTGGTGTAATTCACTATAACTTTCTGCAATCAGGTCATACCATCACAGCAGCACGAAATGTACTGAAATCTGCGTCGACAGCTGCCGGCACTGGTCAACAGAAGAGGTCCGTTCCTACTCCATGACAACGCTCACCGTTCAAAAATTGAACGAATTGAGAGTTGAAGTTATGCCTCAGCCACCATACTCCCTAGACCTCTCGTCAACTGAGTACCACATTTTCAATACAGTCCTACAATATGGTTTCCAATATTCCTGACCAAACGTTAATTTTTTTTGGATATTGGGTATGTGTTTCCCGGAAAACGGTAATTTTGTATGTGAACATTGCCGTTTGAAAAAAATGTACCTTCGTCACTGAAAAAAATATTGTGGAGATAGATAGGATGTCTTGCAATGGTTTCCGTCATGATTTCGCAGAATTCTGTTCTTCGATCAGGGTCATCTTCAGTTAATTGGTGTACCATTTTAATTTTGTATGGATGATACCTATTCCTCTTCAAAAGTATCCACACAGTAGAAGGAGATACGTCACAAACATTCGCGACGGAATAAGTAGACTGTTCAGGATTTACTACCATCTCACCAATTATTTGCACTTGCTGTTCTTCCGGAATGGACGGATGACCTGGGGGCTTTTTGTTATGAACACTACCGGTAGTTGTGAATTTGGATAAAAGTTCCCTCAAATATATTCTACAGATAGGACGATTCGGAAAACGTTCATTGAAAATCCTTTCGGTCTCGTGAAAGTTAAGCGTCGCACCGAAAATAAAAATCGCTTTAACTTTTTCTTCCAATGGACGATAATTGGCCATTTTAGAGATTGTTGACGTGGTACCTTCCTACTAGTAAAACCGAAAACTAAATGAGAATATTCTAACTGAACAATGATGTTCATTGTCGTACTGACATTTTTTGTCGTTTTTATAAACAAAAAATAGCTTAACAAACCTTATCGGGTTGTTGGAATTGCCATATGGCGGATAAAAAGGAATACTTCTAGAAATATCAATATTGATGTGTTTGTCTTCAGGAAATTATTAAATGTTCCGCCAATTTTTAGTAGGTGAAGATATTGACTTCATATTCTAGGGTTGTGAAGTATTCGTCAGGAGCTTCAAAATGATGTGGCACAAGACCCCCCTTTACATTTAATTTTTTTCCCAGATGGCGCTCAGTCGCCATCTTGAAAGTTTCATCTGACAATTTTACTTCAAAATAAAGTATTCATGCATTAATTTCATTATCCCAAATTTTAATTTTTCAAGTTGACCCGTTCAAAAAATAAAAGGGGGGACATTAAAGAAATGCACTGTATATCTAGATAATTTCATATTTGTGTCAGTCACTTTATATCACTTGAATGTATATATGCAATTTATATTTGTATTTACATTGATCTGAATTAGATTATTATTGGTGTTTGTTCCGTCCATTTGTGTACATGTCGCCCACAAACATAATTTCACTTCTCCAAAAAAAATTCATAATGTATGATTATTTTGAATCATAATGGCTTGAAACAAATGAAAATATAGAAATGAATATCTTTCTTACCTACAACAGGAAGTTCGTAGGATTCCAGTCCACTCATGGTATACTTGGTTGGTATATCATTTATTTCCTTTCCTCTAACGGTAACCCTTCTATGAGTCTTTTGCATTCCAGGTAACAAGAAGCATCTCTGATTTTTGATGCTAACATTAATGATTTTCACAATTTCCGCTCGGGCTTTTCCTTTGGTTTTTAGAGATACCACAGTTCCGGTAAGGTGCATCGGCTTTGCCACACCGGTCTCATAATACTCAACTTTACCTGTAAATTCAACAGTGGCTCTTTTCTCAATACCAAATTTGGTTAATGAGTTAGCTATTTCAGTTTGAGGTGCCTGAAAGAATGAGCATCATAAGGAAATGTAACTAACACTTGAAAATGTTTTCGTTGAAAGACTTACGAAGCCCCATTCTGCTTATGTTTGATGGTTTAGGTAAAGGAACGGCTCCGATAGATCCAGATGAGATGGGTCTGACAAAAATACTTGTTCGGACATATGCGCAATAGTTCACAGTTTCATAAAAAAAGTACGTATATATTTTTGAAAGAGTATGCTTACCTCTAGCGTGAGTACTTCCACCGTTCCCTGGGGCTCTCTGTTCAAGCCAAAGAACGTGAATTTGTCCCCTTCGGAAAGGAGTTCCAATTCAAAAGCGTAACCCTCTGGCCTGTTATCGCTCCAGAAATAATTGTCGTTATCATTCAGTTTGTTTTGTTCCGCTTCGAAAGTGAATCTTCTGGCGTACCCTCTGCCGATGGACTGCAGGGTCAGGGCTTTTCCGTCAAAGAGGCATTTGTTGGCGGTGGAACGTCCGCCGACTTCTGGAAGTGGTCTAACACAATATTTGAAGCCGGGAACGATTCTTTTGTCAATATACACCCCGATAACAGGAAGCTGGTGAGGTTCCAGAGCACAAATGGTGTATTGAGCTGGTAGATCACCAATTGTCGAGGCATCTAATTTCAAAGCTTTTTTAGCTACAGGTACCTGAGGTACTTTGGGAGTGGTGGGTATAACAGCGAGCTCCTAAAAACGGTAATCAATGTTAAAATTTAAGATTATAAAAAATAAATAAAAAATATGAAGAAGCTATTTGAAAGACGAATAAAAAAAAGGACATTGAATTATATAGACAAACATGTATACCAAATATTAAATACACGAGGTAAAAAAACCTAATGATTGGTCAACACTCAATGTAGAACTGATCACTTGAAAATGCAAAAATCCTGAAAACTATTAAAGGGTCTATTTACTCAATATATCCCCAGTGAGTTTTTTTGAATTGTTTCGACCGTTTATAGTTTTTCTTGACCAGAATTGGTAGATGTTGATACTTTTTTTTTCTGATTGCTTCTGCCGTTACTTGATGAAGATCCGTAGTAATTTCAAAAACTATACCTCACGATTTGATCTCTTCAAACTTTATTTAAAAAATATATCACGTTTCGTTAGTACAGTAGCTTTGTTAAGTGAATAATACTTCAAGTTGTTTCTTACATTAATATTTATATACTACAGGTAACCAATTGAGACTACCTCCAAAAAATTACCTAACGTGCCCTAAAGTATATATTGGTCAAACTGGCAGAACATTTAGGAATAGAAAACAGGAACATCATACGAGCTATGTAAATGAGAAAACAAATTCAACATATTCAAATCATCTTCTAGAAGAAAATCATGTCTTCAACGAAGAGTTCGAAATTTTGCACATCGAAAATAAAGGTTTAAAACTGAATCATTTGAAAGCAATGGAAATTATTAAACTTGAAAATTCAAACATTCTAATGAATGACCAACTGGATTTGAATAGATCACCATTGTTGAACTTGTTTTCTTAAAAACCGAGAAAGAATTATTATTGATGTAGATGTGAGGTAATATGTTTTAGGTGATCATAATGAAACAGGTACCTCAGGTAGAGGTTTATGTAATTTTTTGGAGGTAGTCTCAATTTTGGTTACCTGTAGTATATAAATATTAATGTAAGAAACAACTTGAAGTATCAATCACTTGACAAAGCTACTGTGCTAGCGAAACATGTGATATATTTTTCAAATAAAGTTGGTGGAGAGCGTGAGGTGTAGTTTTTGAAAAAAAAAAGATGTTTATACATTTTTATGACACTGTAAACAATTCTTTATCGTGATCACTTTATCGTGTCACTAATAAAAACAACAATCAAAATTAGTTGGCGCTCCGGGGCGACTACATTGATTCCAGTGGTGCATTTGCTTTTTCAGCTGCAGGAAAACCGGAAAAACCTGCAGCACCACATTATCTGAAGATCTTGATCTGCCAATGGCCTCTCTCTCATAAAACAAAATGTAGGGTGTCTCCATCAAAGTGACACGATAAAGTGAAGAAGAGGAAGCTTCAAGATATGTTTTTTTATTAGGTGTGCAGTCTCTACAATGAACAAAGACACTTTAGTTAGTATTTTCTGATATTTGAATAATTGCCTGCAAGAGTATCATGGTCCAACTTTGCTAATATATCTATCTGACTATTTTCTGTAGAAACAGCACAAATTCTATTAAATAGTTGCTACACACACTCTAGAATTGTATATGAAGATCGATTAGGGTATAATGTGCAGTTTGGGTCCCCAGTTCTTTGGAAATAACCTGTAACCTGTAACAACCTGTGGAAATTTTACTTCTGGAAGTTTCAAAGTTCAGGCGATTGTTTATGATAAGTCCTAAGTATCTCGTACAGTTCTTATTTTCAATTATACCACTTTCCAGTCGTCCATTAAAAATATAGTGTTTGTAGGTTGGAGGCACATCATAACTTGACTTTTTTTAAGTCGCGAGATATCAGTGTCAAATCACCCGCAGTTTTACTTTTCCTATATATACAGGCTGATTCACGGTGGATGGCACATTAGACGTTTCTGGTGAACCAGACAACGGATCACTTTGAAAATTTAATGGAGGGCATATTCGGACATTCTCTAGCCAACTAAAATATTTTCGACAATGCGGTGTTGCCGCTTCTATTAGAAAGCAGTAGCAACTTTGATTTTTCAAATGGAACACTCTGTATATAATATTATTTTTGGAATCTCCAACAATTGCCCGACAACTTTTCTTGATATTTCCCTATACCTATCTGTTACCGTTTTCGAAATAAAAATTAATTTCAATTTTTTTCTTCGAAAATCATGACTTCTAAAAATGCCGATATCTTTTAGTTAAGAAGTACTATGGCCTGCTTACCAAATACCGAATGGAAATACCATTCTGAAGGGACATTTTCACAAATAAATGTTCATAAGTCCGAAACTTGACTAGTTAGGTATAGGTATGATATACATAGAAAGAAAGCAAATTTCAGCAGCTTTCCGAATTTTCAATAATATACAGGGTGTTCCATTTAAAATAATCAAATTTCAGCAACTTTTTCAAGCAAACGAAAAAACTGTATTTTTTTACCACCCTGTATTGAAGTAACGGAGATTAGGCTGACGTGTGGGAAGTGTCCAAGTATCACCTAACTCCAAACCAAATTTCGATATCATAGTACTTCTTAACTAAAAGATATCGGCATTTTTAGAAGTCATGATTTTCGAAGAAAAAAATTGAAATTAATTTTTATTTCGAAAACGGTAACAGATAGGTATAGGGAAATATCAAGAAAAGTTGTCGGGCAATTGTTGGAGATTCCAAAAATAATATTATATACAGAGTGTTCCATTTGAAAAATCAAAGTTGCTACTGCTTTCTAATAGAAGCGGCAACACCGCATTGTCGAAAATATTTTAGTTGGCTAGAGAATGTCCGAATATGCCCTCCATTAAATTTTCAAAGTGATCCGTTGTGTGGTTCACCAGAAACGTCTAATGTGCCATCCACCGTGAATCAGCCTGTATATCTGTATATCTTGTATTGTTTACGAGCAGAGGTTATATTACCTCGTCAAAGATTAGTTAATAAGTCACTTCTGATTAAGTAAGTGACACTGGTACGACCTCCAGGTAACGTTATATAGGGTCCGCCAAATAACTTTTTTTTTAATGCCATAAAAAAAACTACTGAATATTTCCTCAAATTTCTTTTTTTATTTGAAAGTACAATCCTTCCGGTTAATAATGGAAAATAATTTCATTCAAATGGCTGCCTCGGCTGGCCATACAGTAGGCTACACGATCGGTCCAATTTTTAAGCACATTATCGATTGTGTGCAGCTGTATTTCGCCAATGGCTTCACGAATATTGTCCTTTAAAGCGTCAATTGTCGGCGTAACACTTATCTTTGACGGCACCCCACAAATTATAGTCCAACGGTGTCAAAATGAGCTTCATCTGAAAAGATATTTTTTTTTGCAAAATCGGCATCTTTTATAAGTATAAGCAGGCCCACTTAGCGAAGCGAAAACGCATTGGATGGTCAGTTGGCTTCAACTCCTGAACCAATTGGACTTTGTATGGCGCCATACCAAGGTCTTTATGCAAAGTTCGTCTCAATGATGTCTCCGCTTTGTTTATCGATGAGGATGCCAGTTTCTTTCACTTTTTTCACAAGATAACGAATATACGGAGCTGACTTCCCTGACTTCCCTTCTTCCAAAATCCGTACGCAATTTTCGCACACATTCTGCAACATTACCATGATTTTCAAAGTAATGTCGCAATATTTCCCAGCGTTGTTCAAGCGTATACACAACCATATTCGTTCAGCGGAAGGATAAAACTAATTATCTGTCAAATCAAACATGAGCTAAGTGTTACCATTCACGAAATAAGCACTAGTTGAAAAAAAAACGTTAGATGGCGGACCCAAAGTTGGGAAGATGTTTTGGTACAGTATACTGGACGAACTGAACAATTTCTAGAGTTGTTCAATGATGCTGTTCACACAGTTTCACGAAACCTGGACCAGCTACTATAGTGTCTTCCAACAGAGACTTCCAAACTTTGACAATTGATAATGGCCATCTTGTTGAAGCTACATCTGTCAAATAAGTTGTCAGTTATGCAGTTTTACCAAATCACCATGGATATAATATTCAACAACATGCTCGACCAATACTTGTACGTCGACAAAACGCAAGATCTACCGAAAACAGCCGCTGTCTGTGAGAGTGTACAGGAGAATCCGAGGCAGTCGCTCACAAGAACTCGTCTTTTCGCAGACCTCAACTTAGCGAATTTTGCGTCATGACTTGAGCCTTCACCTGTACATAATTCAACTGACCCAGGAACTGAAGGAAAACAACCATAGACAACGACATGTGTTAGCTGAATGGGCTCTGGAGCAGTTGGCAACTGACCCTCATTTTCATCGAAAAATCATCTTCAGCGATGAGGTCCATTTCTGGATGAATGGGTATGCGAACAAACAAAATTGTCAAATTTGGGACGATACCAATCCACATGAGATCGACGTTGGCCAGGTCATCACCAACGACGAGCACTATAGGTCGATGATTATCAACTTATTTTGGTCTGAACATTCAGCAACATGTGGTTACAACACGACGCCACTACGTGCCACACAGCTTATGCCACATAGGATATTATGCACGAGCCATTTTAGGGCATGGTCACCTCACGTGGAGGTGATGTGAACTTGCCACCGAGATCGTGTGATTTGACCCCGTTAGATTTTTTCTTGTGGTGTTTTCTAAGTTGCAGGTGTATGTGAATAAGCCATAAATCACATCGGTCCTCAAAGACAACATAGCTCATGTCATCGGTCAAATTCTGCCTGATTTATGCGCCAGGCATAGAAAATTGGACGTTTCTGATGCGCTCCACACAGGGAAACCATGGTAGACATTTGAACGATGTTATATTCCACACGTAATGGCATCAATGGGTCTTTCAAACTTTTTTTTCATTCAAATTCAAAGATAGGAAGCGCGTAATGGGTTTTAATGAACATAAACTACTTGGATGTGCAAACGTTCAAGTCATCCTAGTGCAGGGCAAAAACAATAAGTTGGACAAGTTCCGTTGTAGTGGAAAATACTAGAGCTGGGATATAAAACAATAGGTAGTACTACTATGAGTAATTGGTTTGTATTTTCTCAGAGTCGTATTATTTCTGTAGTTATTTTATAGTATTTACTCAAGACATGCAGTTGTCATTGTAGTGGTGTAGATTTTGTCTGTTTATACTTATCTTGTATGAACAAGGAGGCATCCTTATAGTTACTGTATACATATTACTTAAAGTTGTTTATATTTGAATTTATTAAACTTTTTTGAGTGAATTAGGCCTTGGATCAAACTTTCACTTTGATGGCGAACTTCTGTTTGGAAAAATTCCAATACCAGATAAAACCTTTAATAACTATCTTTCATTAAAAAAACCAATAGAGCGACTTCAGCATACAATCGCTTCTTGTAGCTTATGAAAAACTAATGAAACTGAGACCATAAGTAGTAGGTAAGTTGTATAATTCACTTGCCAGATAACCGTACGTAAACAAACTATTTCTGAACTTGCTAAAAATACCTGTTTTTCAGGACTTTGAACATTAGTACGTTCTTGGCAAAATATCATAACATCGTTATCTGAGAATACTTATCATCTATATTGAAAAGTAGTAGGGAACAGAAATTGTTTACCTGATAGTCCAAAAGGTCTGTCTCACTGTCATCACAAGTAAAGTGTTTTATAGGCGCTGCACAGATGTTCCTTTGAGATTCACTGTAAGAATTCTGCAAAAGTTGTACTATTCAGAAAAGGCATCGGCATACTAGCAATTGAATTTTTGTTAAGTGTAAATTATGAACACGAATATTACATAAAATATTAAAGTTACCTACTTGTAGTGGTAGGTTGATCAGCTCTTCAGTTTCATTGGCTGACTCAAAGAAAGCAGTTGAGGAAGATCCGCCACGGCGACATTGCCAGACTCGTTGCATGGCGTTAAGTTTTACTTCTTCTTGGGAAGGCGCCACACAGGTGTTCCTTTGAGATTCAGTATAAGCATTCTGCAAAAGTCAAAAGTTGTACATTTTACTATTCAGAAAAGGCATCGGCATACTAAGGGTAGTCCCAGAAGTACCCGGCCTGACCTAGAGATAGCGGTAGTTATTTGGAAAATATTGAATTAGAAAGTACACAGTCTATAAAGCGCATGTTTCAAGTTAGAAGACGCTGTGTTGTTTATTATTTGTTTGGCAGCCATCAATAGCGAACGTTTTCAGTGAATTTGTGAAAATGGAGAAAATTGGTCATCGTTAAGTGGTACAGGCCTCAGCAAAACCAATATAAAAGCTGAACTGGATCCTAGTCTGGGTAAGTCTGCTCCTTCGTTTACAACAGTAAAGTATTGGGTAGCAGGGTTAAAACGAGGCCGTACGATCTGCCAAGACGAGCATCGCAGTGGTCGACCAAATGAGGTGGCGACTTCAGGAACGGTGAAGAAAATTCACAAAGCGGTACTGCATGATCGTCGACTGAAAGAGCGCGAGTTGGTAAACTCAGTAGGCGTTTCAAAAAGTGCGGTACATAGTATATTATCTGAAAATTTGGATATGAGAAAGCTGTGTGCAAGATGGGTGCCGCGTTTGCTCACACTCGAGCAAAACAGTGTTGTTTCATCAAGACAATGCACCAGATCACAAATCCATTATCGCAATGACCAAAATTAACGAATTTAAGTTTGAATTGCTACCTCATACACTTTATTCTCCAGATTTAGCCCCCTCGAATTATTTTCTGTTCTAAATTTGAAAAAATGACTCGTTGGTCAAAGATTTTCCAATGATGAAAAAGTGATGTCGTCAGTTAATGGCTATTTTGAGGAGCAGGACAGTTCTTATAAAAACGGTATCGCACCTATTGATCGTCGCTGGGAAAAGGGTATCAGCTACAAGGAGATTATTTTGGAAAATAAATATATTTTTTTTACAAAATTTGTGTTTTCTTTGTTGGGCCGGGTACCTTTGGAACCACCTCGAACTTTTGTGAAGTCTTTGTAAATTATGAACACGAATATTGCACCTACTTGTTGTAGTGGTAGGTTGATCAGTTCTTCAGTTTCACTGGCTTCCTCAAAGAAAGCAGTTGAGGATGATCCGCCACGACGACATTGCCAGACTCGTTGCATGGCGTTAAGTTTCACTTCTTCTTGGGAAGGCATTTTCTGCAAAAGAATATCGAGTTTTAAATGAGCTCTGAATAAATTCCAATTCGATGATTAAAAATCATCAATGGTCATTGATAAAGCGAAATGTTCAACAGAAAAATATTTAATAAAAAAAGACATTCGTTAGATTTTTTTTTTGTATGGTTCACCGCATGAATGCGTATTGAATGCTTGTTTTTCACAATTTTTTTTTCAAATTACAATGTTTGTTCTAGTCAATTCTCGGAACTGAATTTTTAGTCATCGTAGATGTTTAGTTTGGATAACAATGCATGGTTGGCCTACACACAACATGATTGACTGCGTAAAATGGCGAACTAGGTATTTTTTATGCACTTCCATAAGTCTTTGGTGAAAAGAATACGAAACAAAAACATGACAACTCTAAATCCAATATGGGCGACCTCCCAAGATGGCAGTTTAGTTATTTTTTAAGCGCTGCCATGATATGGGTGTCGAATTGAAGAGTTTGCTGAAATTATTATGAAAACTGCAATGACGTTACTCTAAATCCAATATGACGGACTCCCAAAGATGGTGGAGTCGGTACTTCATGCACCCCAATCATATGGATATTAAATATAAAAGGGTTGAAGTGAAAAATCAAATTGGCTGAAAACAACATGGCCGAGTTATAACTTGGCGAACGTTAGGAACAGTTTGATAGTGCTCGAACAAACATTGCATGGACCGATAACTATGAAATGAATGATTAATTAAACACTTCCCAAAAACAAGCATTCATTTACGTGTCCTAGCGTGAAAAACTTTTTTTTTTCGGTAACCCACGGGAAGTGGGTACTTCCCGGACGATGAAAGTAGAATTTTTCCAGCCTAGTCCGGGTGTACGAAAACGTTTATGATTTGTTCTCGAAATGGATACATATGAAAAAACGCAAAAGTATTATAGAGGATGTAATTTTAGATTACTAAACCCAAAAATCTGAAACTGTCAAATCCTCTACCTTGTGGAGCATGTACTCCATGTTGAAAAGTACCATTTTAGTGAAGAGAGAGGTAAAAACATAGCCACTTTCAAAGTTATCGCATTTCTTAAAAGGGAGAATGTTGGTTATATAGTAAAGAAATCAGACAGACGTCTTCAATCGCGAGCAGATCAACAAATTCATTAGGGAAGCAAATAATGAAACATATTCAATACTGAAGGTGATTCTAACAAAATATAACCATCGTAAGATATACAATTATTAATTTACAAGCGCCAAATTTGATGGCGAGCCCGCCCTTATGCGCACAAACTCATTCTTGCAAGACATACAAATACTCTGTACAGAGGCGTATCATCACTTGTCCTCCAATGTTGTTGGCGTTTGGCATTGTCTGAATAATTTGTGTTGTTAATAAAAAAATGTTATCGCCTGACAAAAAAACAGTCATGAAAAGAGAGGTAAACATAGTGAAATAATTTTCATAGTGTTCAATTATGTTCAAAGTGTGAAATGTGAGTCAGATACGTTATCAAATGTGAAAAATAAAACATCTCTCGCTACAGGTAACATATAATAAATTTAAAAAATAACTATTTCAACACAAATCTTTATTTTGTATTAGGTATTTCAATAAGAACCATTGAAAGAGTGGTCAAAGAAGGGGAGCAATTAATTTCGGCAAATAACGGAGAAGTAAAATTTTCCAACCCAAGAAAGAAGCGGCCTAGAAGAGCACCAGTAACTGATATTCCCGAGTATGAGTATTCCAATATCAGACGGATTATTTACGACTTTCATAAACCGGGAGGGTGTCGTATTACGGTGAAAAAGTTCCAACACAAAATTAATTGTGGCTTCCGAAACATCTCATCGTAGAGTTTTAAAGAAAATAAGTCTCAAATGGAGAAGGACTGAAAATAATAGAAAAATTTCAATATTGAAAATGAATATTAGGGCATTGAGGATCAAGTATTTACCCAACCCAAGTACCCAACAGCGTCCAAATGTTTTTCTTGAAGAAACATGCCTTCATAGTCCAGTTCCAAGAACTGGACGGATGAATCAACCAAAAGGTTTTTAAAAAATATTGCCAAAGGACTAAGACTCATTATTTTCCATGCAGGAGGTGACATGGGCTTTATACCTAATTGTCGGCTTATATTCAAATCAGGCACAGCATCATTCAGAAATGAATTCTGAAAATTATGGTAAATGATTACAAGAAAAGTAAATCCCAAATGTATCTCTGAATTCGGTAGTCGTGACTGATAATGCTCCATACGATAATATTCAAATTAATCCAGCCTACAACACGAATTTTAGGAAGGCTGACATGGTGAGTGGCTACACGAAAAAAGCATTATGTTCACTATTAACATGCTCAAACCCGAATTATACGAGTTGATCAAGGTAAATAAAAAGTATCATATTAGATACAAATTTGATGAGGTTCTGCTTGAACCCGGACATAACCTTTTGCGACTTCCACCCTACCGTCCGGATTTGAATCTCATTGAACTCATTTGGGCTACTGTCAAAAACAATATGTTCCAAAATAATGTAACTTTCAAGTTACATGTATCTACATGTAGTAGATATAGAGCGGAAATATTGGTAAAATGAAACATTCAGAGACGTTCAAACAGAGATAAATCCATTGATAATAAATTTAAATGACGATAGCAGAACAAACACAAGCAGCAGTGAAGATGAAGAAAATGTGTATTGATTGAAGTTCATTTTTGAATAAGTGTATCGTTATATAACATTTCAATGAAAGGTACTATTACCTATAATTGTGATGCACTGTTTGGAAACTTTGGTGTAGTAATGAATTTTACTGGAGTTTTTTCCCAACACCAAACCGTTATTTCAACACCTCGACACGTGTTTCGATCACCAAGTGATCATCTTCAAGAGGAAGATCAAACTGTTTGATCTTTCTCTTGAAGATGATCACTTGGTGATCGAAACACGTGTCAAGGTGTTAAAATAACGGTTTGATGTTGGGAAAAAACTCCAGTAAGCATAATGGGTTTACATCAATGTCCATTTTCGCCAAATATGCAGGAAACTTGCCATGGTTCATTTTCATTCGTGTGATGGTAGTGGCGTAGAATCTTGAAAACTTAAATTTGTCTATGTGAGGATAACTTTTGTTGTAACTGGGCAAAAAGCTGTTGTATAGGCAATATTTATTTTTACAGCCATCCCATTCCCCACATAACATGCTATCAGTGAATTACAAAAAATGAAAATGTTAGAATTTGAAGAGACACGGTGGCTGGAAGTCAACCAATGTTGCTGAAGAATCTATAAACAATTCACTCGCAATCAAAATTGCCAAGACCATTCAAAAATTGACTAATGAAAAACAGTCAATATGAAATGGAAACTTTATTGTCTTATTCTGACTTCAACAAAAGGCATTTAAATATACCAAAGCATTGCAAATGAATCGAATCCCTTCAATATCAGCAATTGCTGGCATTTTCATAAAAATATTATAAATAGAATCTAGAATTGAAATTGTAGAATTATTATCATGTATAAAGTTATTAATTTTCATCAAGTAACGAATCAGGTATTCATTATTAGAAAAAATTAACTTGAAATTGAATCAAACTCATCATTTCATTACATTACACAATTTGTATGATATATATGCTTGTCGCGAATTCAATATATGTGGATAAACAATAATACAATATAAGTTTATTTCGACCTGTAATCCTAAGAAAAAAGTATATATTTTTTTATAAAAAAGGTAAATATCACGGCAAGCTTTTATATCATATAAATTGTTTAGTGTAAAAAATTGATTTTAATGTTTTAATTTTGTTTTAAATGAAAGTTTTTTTTGGGGATGTAAATGAAAGCTTGATTTTAGAATGTTTTTACTATTAACCCATTTTTAAAATGGAATGCGGCCTTTGTTATTCGCTGATAATATATATCTTTCTATAGGTGAATGGATTTTTGGAATAGGTAGAAATGAAGTTTTTCTACACCCGTACTCTAACAACACACTTATATGACCATAATCCGTTTCATAATGATATCCATTATGATACAGATTTTTCATAACGATACAGATTATCAACCAATAGAAACCCATAATTTTTCAATCAAGAATCCTGTTCCTTTGTTTGTCCTAGATTCTAACCTAAGTAACTAATTGCTTTATTTGCCAAAATCAGTTTTCATATTACCTACCTATATTATCAAAATGTCTGAAAACAGCGATATAGAAGGAATACCATCGACTCCAATATTTTTAAAAGATCAGATTAATTACAGTTGTTATATTCAATATAAATATAATTAGTATCTTTATAGTTTTCATATATCCATGATAATACCATTAATTTTGTGTTTTTTTAAAAAAATATAAGATAATTACTGTAAATGTGTTCAATACAAATATAATATTTATAGTTTTTCATTATTTATCGGGTTTAGAAAAGATAGCGTATGCAACTCTCATGTTCCCGGTTAATGCTCGTGTCTTAATAACCATCATTGCATGATCGTTGCATAATATACTATTTTAATTTATCAATCAGAAGCAAACATACAAAAAATCAAATCTTTTTTCTCTATATTTTCAGTTTAGTGTTTTAGATGATTTCATGTATTATCAATATGGCAGTGCAGTGGAAAAAATACTTTGATATGCAAAATTTTAAATTATTTGGGTTATTTATAGTTTCTTAGGGATCTCAAGATCGGACTTGCATTATCCATTCCAAACAAAGAAACATCAAATATTTTCTCTATAATATTAGGTTACAGTTGAGAACAAACTTTGATTGTGTAATTGATGTATCTAGGTTTATTTTCAGTTTCATTTTATCAATGTATTCGCGAAATATCAATTTGCCGAGACTAGAGAAAGGCAGTCAGCCCTGTGGTTTTGTGATCGGCCGTGACATATCACCATCCAATACCGAAATAAACCGCAGAAACAGACTTCATTGATGATGCTATTGAAACTGACCCCGAACCGGATAAAACGATAAAAATGAAAAAAACTGGATGATAATG